CAGACAGGCTTTGGTTTTAAATGACACTTATAGACCATCTATGTACCTCTCCTCTGAACTGGATATCTATATTCACCTGCATATTCAATATACTTACTTGGATGTCTAATGAGCATCTCAAAATTAACGCATCCAAAACTAAGCCTTTGATATTCTCCTCTAACATCTTGTTCCCTTCTCTATAAACAAATGGAAACTCCATTATCTCTTTAAACATTACCTTTCCCCTATTCTTTTTTCTTCTGAAAGATTAGAAAGACCGTTGGAAAGTCTCATACTACATCCCATGTGTCTTAATGTCTCAGTTTTCCATACGGAAATTATCCATACAAAAGAAAAAACCCGTTATTTTTTAAAAAAATTTTCCTTTTACTTTACTCAGATCTACCTTTCAGTTTAAAATTCTCCCTTTAGCTGAATTTCCTCAAGCCTTCCATTTTAATTTTCAATTATTATTTCATTTCTAAAAATTCTATTTCTTTTAAAAGTGAATCTGTTCATTTTGGGTAGTTTCTTTTTCTTATATATTTTTAAATAATTTTTTTATATCTTTGAATGTATCAAATATTAATTTTGTATTATATATTATAAAATCTAATAATGAAGACTTTGAAGATGTAGATCTATTGTTTGTTTTTTTTTGTTGACTTGTAATAATGGTTTATTTTGTGATTTTAGATTGAATTTATATTAGCTGGCACTCTATTTGTGGGGTTTCTTTTGAGGCTGGATTGAGGGTTACCTTTCTCCAGGAATGATTTTTGTCTGCTTTTGTCAGGCAATGAGCATGACAAAAGTGAATCCTTTTAAAAATGCAATTATAAGCAACATAAACTATGCTAATAGTGTAGATTCAGGTACTAAACTCATATGAATGGTAGCCAGTGGCTATTAATTCCCATGGTTTGCAGAGGAACCTTAAACAAAAAATAAAACAAAAACATGAATAGCCAAGGCTGAAAATGGTAATTTTTCTTCCTGTCTGCCTCTTCAATTTTTGTTTTGTTTTATTTTAGTTCACTGTTTGTAAAAGGCTATTGCCTTTCAGGGATCTTGGTTTTATGTGAGGTGCACTCTGATTCAGTTCCCCATTATTCACTGGCCCAAAGCTCTTTATACATTCCTGAGGCTATGGTGATCAATATAGTTTCCCATATTCTGGTAGTTTCCAAGCTTATCTGTCTAGAGGTGAAGGATTCACATGCATCAGCATCACTGAAAGGATCTTCTAAAATACAGATTGCTAGGCCTTATTCTCTGAGTTAATAGGTCTGAGGTGGGGCTCAAGTATTTGTATTTCTAGCAAGTTCTCAGGTGATGTTGATGCGACTGGTCTGGGGGCCACACTCTGAGAACCAGTCCACTAGACCAGGAGTTAGCAAACTTTTTTCTGTAAAGGACTAGATAGTAAAATTTTTGACTTCATGGACCACATGGCTTTTGTCAAAATGACTCAACTCTCTGTTGTAGCAAGAAAGCAGCCATATAAAGTACATACACAAATGCATGTAATCATGTTCCAATAAAACTTTACAAAAATATCTCTAGCTATGTTGGGCCAGGGGCTATGGTTTGCTGACCTCTGGTCTAGATTTATGTCCCCATTCTGATCTGGCCACAAAAGGTTTTTTTCCTTTCCTGCAGGCACATCCAGTCAATTAAAAGGGTTTAAATATTTTAATAAAAACTTTTAAATGTTACCTAGCAGAAAATCTTTCAGGATCTTCATCTGACTATATTGCCAGAAATAGAGACCTGTATTTAAATTTCTACCTGTTGAAAGAATTCAGGGCAAGACTTTTCTAGTGGATCCGATTTTTTTCCGTAAGTCCAATCTCTTTAGTAGGCCATGAAAAGTTTATGATTATTAGCTCTAGAATCTTTTCCGACTTTCTGCCACTACAGAATATATCCTCCTACTTTACTCATTTACCACAAAGGCCCTGAACTTGCCTTTTCTGTCTCATTCCCTCATGCCACTGTACATATTTTTTTCCATTTTTCATGTTGCCCTCCCTTCATTCCCCACAGTAAGTTCGGTAAACTCCTGCTATTCCTCAAACTCTTCTTAAAAGCTTCTCCCCAGAATACTTCTTCACTTATTTTATGAGGCCATCATTACCCTGATACCAAAACCAGGCAGGGACAATACAAAAAAGAAAATTATAGGTCAATATCTCTAATGAACATAGATGCAAAAATCCTAAACTAAGTCTAGCAAATCTAATACAACAATACATTAAAAAGATAATACATCATGATCAAGTGGAGTCATCCCTGGGATGCAAGGATGGTTCAACATATGCAAACCAATCAATGTAATACATCATATTAATAAAAGATAAAAAACATATGATCATACCAATAGATGTATCATAAAAAACGTTTGACAAGATAAAACATCTATTTATGATTAAAACAATAAAATAGGTATAAAAGTATCTCAACATAATAAAAGCCATATATGACAAACATTCAGCTAATGTCATAATCAATGGTGAAAAACTGAAAGCTTTTCCTCTAAGGTTAAGAACAAGACAAGGATGCCCACTCTCACCGCTGTTACTCAACAGAATATTGAAAATCCTAGCCAGAGCAATCAGCCAAGAGAAAGAAATAAAAGGCATCGAAATTGGGAATGAAGAAGTAAAACCGTCACTATTTGCAGATGACATGATTCTATGTGTAGAAAACCCTGAAGACTTTACCAAAATACTATTAGAAACAATAAACTAATAAAGTTGCAGGATATAAAATCAATGTTTTTGAAATATCAGAAAAAGAAATGAAAAAAATAATTCCATTTTCAATTGCAACAAAAAGGATAAAATTCCTAGGAATAAACAAAGTGAAGGACCTATGCCTTGAAAACTATAAGGCACTGTTGAAAAACTGAAGAAGACATAAAGAAATGGAAAGATATTCCATGTTCATAGATTGGAAGTATTAGCATAGTTAAATGGCCACATTACCCAAAGCAATATACAGATTTAATGCAATCCCCATCATAATCCCAAAGGCATTTTTCAAAGAAACAGAACAAAAAATTCTCAAATTTGTATGGAATCACAAAAGATTCCAAATAGCCAAAGAAATCCTGAGAAAAAAGAACAAAGTTGGAGGTAGGTATTACACTCCCTGATTTCAAATTATACTACAAAGCTACAGCATGGCTTTGACAGAAAAACAGATACACAGACCAATGGGACAGAATTGAGATCCCAGAAATAAACCTACATATATATGGGCAACTGGTTTTCAACAAAGGAGGCAAAAACATACATTGGAGAATGGAATGCCTCTTCAATAAATAGTGTTGGGAAAATTGGAAAGCCACATACAAAAGAAATTAGATTTCTCTCTGACGCCATACAAAAATTAACTCAAAATGGAACAAAGATTTGAATAGTAATTTGGTTTAAAGATTGAGACAATAAAATACATAGAAGAAAAGAGAAGTACTAAACTTAAGGACTTTAGTCTCAGAGAGATTTTCGTGAACTTGATCCCAAAAGCAAGGGAAATAAAAGCAAAAATAAATGACTGGGGTTATATCAAACCAAAAAGCTTTTGCACAGCAAAAGCAAACAACAAAATAAAAGGCAACCAACTAAAGGAGAGAAGATATTTGCAAATGATACCTCTAATAAGGGGCTAACATCCAAAATATGTAAACAACTCATATAACTCAACAACAAAACAATCCAATTAAAAAATAGGCAGAGGACCTGAAGAGACATTTTTCCCAAGAAGACAAACACAAGGCCAACAGATACTTAAAAGAAGCTCAACTTCACTAGCTGTAAGGGAAACGCAAATCAAAACCGCGACGAGAAACAACATCACACCTGTTAGGGTGGCTATTACCAATAAGATGAGAAAAAACAAATGTTAGAGAAGATATGGAGAAAAGGGAATCATTGTACACTGTTGGTGGGAATGTACATTGGTACAGCCACTATGGAAAATAGTATGGATGTTCTTCAGTAAATTAAAAATAGAGCTACCGTGAGACACAGCAATCTGTCTTCTGGGTATCTACTTCTAAAACTCAAAGGCACTTATTTGTAAAAATATATGTATCCCTACATTCATTGTGCCATTATTCACAATAGCCAAGACATGGAAACAACCTAAGTATCCTTCAGCTGATGACTGGATAAGATGTGGTGCATATATACATTTGGAATATTACTCAGCCAAAAGAAATGATGAAATGTAAGTTGCCAGTTGTGACAACATGGATAGGTCTTCATGCAAAGTGAAATAAGTCAGATGGAAAAGGACAAAAAAGTATGATTTCACTCTTTGTGGGAGATAAAAACAAGAGAGCAAAATCAAACAAAATGGACTCATAGGACGAAGAGGGTAAAGGGGGTCAAATATATGGTGACAGAAGAATAGACTTTAGGTTGTGAGCACACAATGCAATTTACAGATGATGTATTATAGAATTGTATACTTGAAAGGTATATAATGTTAACTGCTGTCCCTCTAATATATTTAATTTTTTTAAAAAAGCTCCTCCTCTGTGATGCTCTTCCTTCCCAAAGGTGCTACTCTGTCCAATGGTTGCTTCCTCCAACCACACCCATTATTACATCTGATATATTTCACGGCTATTGCTAATTTTCAAGAGCAGGTCCTTGCTACAATATGAGCAACTAGAGGATAGGCTCTTTAAATGCCCAGTGCCTGGCATATTTTTTTTTAACTCAATAAGTATATTTATTTACTTTTGAAAACTTGAAAACATGGCTAAATAAATGACTGTTTCGGGAATGGGATTTGAAACAAACCACTTGTTTAAACCCTTGAAGTTTATGTTATCTCAGTAATCAAACCAAATTAGAATCTCCTAAACTGTCTTATTATTTTCAGTTAGTCAAACCTACGTAAAGTCCATAGTAAAAACATAAGGACCTGGACTGCTACATGCCTCACACCCAACTGGCATCAGGGAGGCCATTTATTCTCTCTAAAATAAATCAAAAGACACGAGGTTTTGTTTTTCTTTTATTGCAACCCATTGCAAGGTCAAAAGATTCACAGAAATAGAGAAACTACAAACTGGGTGAATTTCCTTTATCCACTCAAAAAGACGTTAAAGACAAAGGACCAGAATTTTCCACTACAGCAATGTATTTTATAGTCTTTATTCTGAAAATACTGCTGACATTTTGGAGAGGATAAAAAGCCCTGCAATAAACATGTTCACATATATTTATGACATTCTAAGCAAAAAAAAGAAACTCTATATTGCCCAGAAAAATCATTTTAAGCCTCCTTGTAAAGCATCTAATGAGAACACATTCAACAACCATCATAGGATCACTCAGGGTAATGCTTTTTCTGGTTGTTTTTTGAGATTAATGCTTTGAGGCTAGATATGATATTTCTACAGATTTCTACAAAAACACCAAAGCAGTTTTCCAGGTTATGTTGCATCAGGCTTTCTGGATTAGCCAACAACTTAAAGAATTAAGTGCAAGTCCCCTCCCACCACCCACCCCAAGCTGAAGCATGTTATAGTGCTGTACTTTAGATTCAAACAACGCAACATTAAACAAAAATCAATTATACACTTCTGAAACCATTTGACAACCAAACTGTAACACTCCAAAGATTATTACAACTTTGAACTGAAATGGCACCATCTATATCATCAATGGCTCTTCCTTCTTTTGTCTTTTTTAACTATTTAAAATATAGTGTGACATATATAAAAATTAAAATTTTGCTTATTCACTCAAGCTACTATTACTATACATACTGTCTTATAAATTAGTTTTGGATTAAAAACCAGTTAAAATATTATGATTTAAGATATTTTTTCAATGGAGGGGAAATGAATATGAAAATGATATAGTTTGATATGTAAGAACTGCAATTTATTAATAGTAAACAGCTTTTTTTCTTACACAAATTTTATTCCCTTCAAGTTAAATTAGTAACCCATTTAGTGATTTAAAAAAAAAAAATACCCTTGGTGGTTACTTACTAGATTTCCCTAACTGGGATTAAAAGCAAAAAAAGATGCCACAGCAGAAACATGTTGACATAACAAAAGAAAGAGTTGTTTACATTTTTTGGAGTCATTATGAGTAAGTGAATGGCATTTGAATGTAAAGCTATTTCTTGTTTCTTATGGCTAGTCTCATTTTAGCAATGTGGTTTAACAACTCAAACTTTAGTATCACCGTTAAAGACCAAAGAACAGCTATGTCCACTTTGGGGAAGAATAAATAGCAAAACTCACAAGTCAGGGTTTTGTACCTAGCTCTACTGGGAAAGATAATCACTCTTTAGTGTAAAAAGGCTCCCTGCTGTCTTGATTATAAACCTGGACACAGGAAAGGTTAGTTGAGCCTGAGTCCCTAATATGAATTAATTGTAAAGATGTGTGAAATCAAAACTTATATTCATTTACTGATAGATATTTTCTTAACTGAAAGGTGTCAATCTTTAAACAAAGAAATGCTTATTTCTGACAAGTGTAAACAGAATCTTAATGAAAAGATTTTATAATATTTCTTCTTAACTCATACATTAACCAGCAATAGACTTTTGCAGTAGCATAAGAACTATTCAAAAAATAACATGCATATATCCAAAAAACCTGTTCTAAAGCCCAAAGCAAAGCAAAGCAAAAAAAAAAAAAAAAAGATTGTCTACTTACATCTCACTCATTAATCTTCTATTGTGACTCCCCCCAAATCTCAGAAATATAATTTCATAATTACCCAAATTAACAAAAATAATTAAGTGATCTGTAGATTTTTAAAAAATAACTTCACACCATTAATTACATTGGTGGCTTTAATGTGGATAATGCTAAAATTAGCTCCAAATATCATTAAAATATATCCAGACCAGTTACTATGCATGAAATAAAAGCTAACATAATGTTAACATAAAACCCAACTAAAAAATGTATTACTCAACAGAATGCATTTGTAGAATAATGAATAATTAACTTCTGTGAGCTGGCCAGAGGAGTTCAGATTGCTGCCTCCACAGAAAAATTTTACAAAAGGCTTTATCTTCTCTAGTCCCTAAGTTGCCTACCAGATAGCAAGCTGGCCACCTGTGGCTGACACGCTCTCTCAGTGGCCTGGAGAAAGGCCCCTCTGTCAGAAAATGATCTAGAAAGAAACTGCCCTGATATGCATATGCGGGCACAGGTGCATGCATATGAGAGAGTGTGAGAACCTATATGTGTACATGGACTTGAAATTTCGAAAAGGTTTCCAGGCTTCTAATTAGTGTAACCTCACCTATGTTCTGGTTGTCATCAGTAGACATGCACAATTCTATCTCACCAGAAAAGAAGGCAATAGCCTGCATTTTGGGGTATCATCAAGTGGCAGTAATTAGAAGCTCGAAATAATATATTTGATTTTTTTTGACTCCATGGTAGGAACAGAACATCTTTCTAGAGAAATAAGCCTTCGAACTGAAAACTAAAAGGTTTCCGGCTTTCACAATCTTTAATTTTTAAGAAAAAACCCAGCTCACCTGAGAATAAATAGCAATTGCGCTTATGCTGTGCAGTATGCAAACGAGACACAAATATACACACTTGGGTACACACATAGACATGTGACAGTTAAAACCTTTCCAGGAGACCACCCACCCCAAATCTACAATTCCTTTCTGCCCTGCTGAGTGATCCAAGTGGATCTAAGCCTGGGCAGGAGTGTTAGGAGGAGGCGGCAGACATGTTGGGGGTCCAGCCCATCTGATAGGCTCTCTCCAAGGTCCTCTTGCAGTCCTGCAGGACGGTGCTGAAGGTGATGTGAGGGTACTGCTGCACCAGCTGTTCCACCGTCACTTCATTGACCTGTAACCGAAGAAGAGCCACCGTCATGCACAGGGACCACTGAAACGGCCAGCTGCCCACGCCCACTGGCATGACGCTAATGGCGCTAAGAACCCCCTCCCCCCATTCCTTCTCTGCAGTGTTTAGTGAAAAGAGCTGTGTCCCTTTTTGTCTGAACTCCCTGGTTTCCTATGTACTACATATTCCCTTACTGACTTTTTAAAAGACATATGATATCAAGAAATCAACTGTGTTTTCTAGAAGCATAAATGACTGTGACTTGCTGAGATCCTAATAGTGTCCATTGAAAATCTAGTGCTTGGGAGGTAAGGCTGCAGTAAGATAGCATTTGAATGTGCATTTGACTTAGTCATCAACCTGACAGAGTTTTTAGGACAAAATTGTAGATTGGTGGAGAGGATACACAAGATTCTAGATGGAAGTGTTGGGAGAAAATGTTGATTTTTCTTCCCTTTAAATGTTAAGGTATTGCAAACTTCAAGACTCTTTGTGAAAAGTGCTGAAATGTGAGGAATCAATAATTAAAACATACATGGTTGGCAGGTCAGGGATGGCCCCACTAGACCTTAACCATCAAAGATACCACCTTGATTCTTGATTAGACAAGGCAATCAGACAGGCCTAATTAAAACTAACACCTTTACAATTGCTGTGCTGTGAAGGGATTAATTTGTCAATTATTTTAAAGCTGATTGCAGTTCATATCACAGAAGTAGACAGCTTCCTTCATCCTTTAGATAAATAAATGATTAACCTAAGAACCACAACTTTTAGGTAGCTTTATTTAAAATCTTTATTGAACATCTGGGCATTTTCAAATACATCAATATTTCATTTATACTAAGTAAGCTGGTCTGAAAGAAAATACTTGTGAAACACATTTTTGTGCTCCCTCTCCATGTCTGTCCATTATTGAAAAAGATCAGGACCACCAGGAAAAGTCTTAAACAGCATCAAACCCTTGCTGTTTGCTTTGAAAGCCTGCTTAGAAGTATGACGACTATGACATTCAGTCATCTGCACTATTCTAAAATAATATGGAGTTTTCTGGGTGATTTGGAACACTATGTTACATACAATGTTTTTCTTTTTTTAAATTGAGAGTTGGTATTTCAATATTGTATTGATGATAACCTTTGTCAGAATATCTCCCTATTCAAGACTTGCTTGTATTTAAATCAATGTTTATTCCAAATTCAACCAAGCCATACGATTAAATCTTTCTATAATGTAGATATGATATATAACATTTTGTTTTCAAAAATGAGAAAATAATTTTGAGTAAAAAAGAAAAACTGATATATAAATTAGATTTGAGAATATCACGAGTTTTAAGCAACATAATTTTTTATTTTTTAAATTTAAATTTATGTTCTAAGTCTTGCTTACGTTGAGGCAGTTTATAATAGTACACTTAGAATGTCATATATCATTGAGCCCTGTATATCTCTCTAGCATATTTTTGATACTATCCAGTCACCTAACCTAATTTCATATTATCAGGCTGTCCAAATTCTGTCTGGCCTCAAGTCCTATGCACATGCTGTTCTCTTTACCTGGAATACTTTTTAATGCACTTCCTCCTTAAAACCATCTTCTCATGCCTACTTTCCATTCATTTAAAAAAAAATTAAATTAAAGTATATGGTTGGCATACAATATTATATTAGTTTCAGGTGTATAACACAGTGATTTGACATTTATATACTTTATGATGTGATCACCTTAAGTCTACTAGCCATTTGTTACTATACAGAGTTATCACAATTTTATTGATTATATTCTCCTTCACTTATTTTGTAATCTTTTTTTTTAAAAAATAAATTTATTTATTTAAATTAGTTTCAAGTATACAGTACATTAGTTAGACATCTATAATGTTCATAAAACAATCCTCCCTATTGCTCCCTCCCTCCTCTGGCCCTCCACGTAGTCATCATATTAATGCTAACTACATTCCCTCTTCCATGGTCCCCAAGCCCGTGCCCAACTATCAACTACTAATTTGTACTTCTTTAAGACTTCACCCCTTTCTCCCAGCCTCCCAATCCCCCTCCCCTCTGTCCATCACCAAATTGTTCACTATATTTGTGAGTCTGTTTTTGATGAGTTTGTTCTTTTTGTTCCTTAGATACCGCATATAAGTGAAATCATATGGTATCTATCTTTCTCTGTCTGACTTATTTCAGTCAGCATAATAACCTCTAGGTCCATCCATGCCATTGCAATGGTAGGATTTCATTTTTTTTTAATGGCTGAGTAATACTTCATTGTATATATGAACCATAATTTCTTTATCCAATTACCTGCCGATAGGCATTTAAGTTGTTTCCATATCTTGGTTATTGTTTCCCTTCACCTTTTTAACCCTACTCATTCTTGAGTTCTTAAATCCCATGTCATTTCCCCTGGTAATTCTGATCACCGCCCTATCCCCACTCCGCTCCCTTAAATTAGGTAAGGCTTTTAGGTAATTCACTCTTCCAATATTGCCTACTTTTCTTGCATAGTACTTATAAAGTTAGTTAGTGATCGCTTTGCTCTAACGTAAGATCCATAAGAGCCACGATCATTTTTTATATCCATGAGCCAGGCCCAGTTATCAGTGAATAAATGATAAGACGATAACAAACTACAAATAAAACATAGAAACCCAAGAGCAAGGCAAAGCCAGACACTAATGTACTAACCACAAAGACCAACAATTTCCTGAGGAACCCACATTCAGTTCAGGAATTCCCTTCTTCAGGAAGCCTTCCCTAAGCAAGTCTAGCTCGTCACCCCTTCTCTGCGCACCCATGGTTGGCACCCTGCAAGGTTTGTCTTTTATTTAAGCACTTTCATATCGCACTGCAATCATCTCTTTACTTGCCTCTCTCTTCTACCTGAATAAAAGCCTCTGCTTTTATTTTTAAGGCTATTGAGCAGTGCACAAAAAAGAGAAGAAACATGGCAACCGTGGTTCATACCACAGACTTTAGAGTCAGCCGAAAACGGCTTTGAATCCTGGTTTCACTTTACTCCTTTAAGATTTGGTTTTCTCAACCGTAAAAACAGGATAAAAGTAATTATATCATAAGACTGTTATAAAGGATTAAAAGCAATGATATGCCTAACACTGTGACTAAAAAAGGTCCCCAAATGGTAGCTCTTATTATTACAGTAGGCACGGTTGTCAAATGTATGAGTTAATTAACAACATGTTAAGGCGACCAATTCTCTACAGTGATGCTCAGTATTTTTCTACTCCTGAGATATTTCAGAAATAAACCTTTATAATGTAAGTTATAACTTTCAAAATAAAATAATCACAGAGCAAGAAGTAACCTTTAATTTCTACTTCATATACAAGAATCAATTTTATCTTAATGCTCTCTGGAGGAGATTCCAGAACTTTCTTTAATAACACGCTCCAGGCTTTCAATGATCCATTCTCTGGAAATCCTCCCTTTTCTTTACCTGATGTTCCCCATGCGACAGTTAGGTTACCTTCTTCCCTCCTAACAAACCCAGAAGGATGTAGATCTCACTAAGGGAGAGCCGAAGTCACTTGGTCAGAGAGAACCCTCAGAAAACCTGTACCACATTATGAAGGAAGTAAACATGCTCCAAGACACTTAACATGCAAGGAACAACTAACTAAAAATAGATGAAACAAAGTATGGAGAAGGGAAAACATTTAAACCCACCATAAAGATGGGGACGTCTTCCACAGTACATCTTTTCTAAACCACTCAAGAGCCTGTACAAAGTTTTACACCTAGGGTTAACAGGCAATTTGCTTTGGAGGTCCAATTTTGAAAAAAGAAAATATCTCCATGTGATAACTATTTTGCAGGAAGAAATACAATTCATCTTATGCAAACTTGATAGACGAAGATATGGATTTATGAAGTATGTAAATAAGAGAATAATTGTTTACTTTAGTAAAGGCTTTCATGGGAGGGTTAACTTATTTTGTCAGCTCTCTTAATGTGTTTTATATATCCTTTTATTTATCAAAATTCAATTTTCCTATTTCTCTTATATAAAGATAAGCTATACCTATACTTGAAAATATAGACTGTGTTAATTCTCTGGCTTTCATAGGTTATGGGCAAGAATAGACAGTACTTTGGCTTTGTACTGCTGTAGGAAACATGGTACTGGTAATCCTCTGTGGATATAATGTGTCTTCGAAGCAATCTTTTTTGCTAACTGTGCTCTGTAAATTCTAGAAAACAAAACAGTGGGGGAAATTCAAGTATTCCATTTTAGAGCTTTGTTGGGTAGAAGTTATTCAAGGAAATACATGTGCTCCCACTAGGGAAAGTTCTTTCTTTTACTTATAGTGCCCCTGGCTATATATTGTGACAAGTTTTATACGAAAGTCATTTACTCAGAAGTACAAATTATGCTCATCCCTTTGTATAGACTCTATAAGCGTTTTGGTGCCTTAGAGAAGGAGTTCGGCGTAAGACATCGGGAGGGTCCACGTCATTTTAAATCATTACGCCTACATACAAATTTTGCAGACATTTTGTCATACACAACTCCATTTGCACGAATAAAAAGAACTGTTCTCTGTTCCAACTCATAAAATGTATGTAATATAAAAAAACATTAAAGATGAATTTTAAAAAATTTCCCCATGATCCCCAGTTTTCTGTATGCAATTTCTTTTCCTCTTGCTAAAAACTATCAATGGCAACTCCTATACTACACATGAGATTTGAAAAATGCACTGTATCTTCCTAAAGAAATATGCAGCGGTGTCATTTGAAGAAATTACTCTGATTAAAGGGAGAAAAGCATGTACCATGGGTTTTTTTTTTTTTAAATATAAGAAAGATTGGATTTTATAGTTCTCTCCAAAGACTGTATAACCATAATTTACTTTTTCAAAATTATTATAAGTCTTTTTAAGATAGTAGCAATTTGTCTGGTATTTTAATCTATTTTGAGTTAACATGTATTAGCACTTTTTGAAAATGTGAGGCAAATTGCTGTGTTAATTAAGG